GCCCCTCCCCCATTCACTCTCTCTCAAAAATAAATAAATAAAACTTAAAAAATATTAAAAAAAATTTTTTTAAATGGTAAAAAGAAATGGGTAAAATTAATTTTTATGTTGCATTTGATGTAACCCAGTATGTCCAGTATCATCGTTTCAACACGTAATAGGTATAAAAAGTATTGAGACAGTTTGCATTACTTTTTTGTAGTAAGTCTTTGAAATCTGGGATATATTTTATAGCCCCAGCACATTCCAGTGCAGTCTAGCCACAGTCAAATCTGGCTTTGCATGAAAATGACCTGGGGGGGTTGCTTTTTTCAGGCCTCAAACCCCCCATACCACCTGGCACTGGGGCCCAGGAGTCTCTGGTTCTAAAAGCTCTCCAGGTGATTCTCATGATCAGCCAGAAAGCCAGTCGATCCCCATCTTCTATCAACTTGCTCATTTACCTACTCTGCACCTTATTGTCAGGATGTCTGACACTTAACCTATCCCCTTCAGCTATATTATGATGATTTATGAAATACTCTGTGAACAGCTCTAATTATGCATTGTGACCTTTATACTTTTATAGATCATGGGAGAACTTTGCATAAATGATCTTGAAAAAAATTGTTAAAATCGTTATTTTAAAATTTTTCTTACGTATCACCTCTGGTTCCCTGAATCCAATTCAAGAAAAGTGATGTCATACCTGGGAAAAAGAAAGTGACTCTAAGAGCAGTAATAGGTTTTAGAGAAACAAAAGTGAAACTTTATTACTGTCTACCCAGTAAAACATGAGGGAAACGGAGTCAGAAAGCAATTTGGCATTTCAATAACTTGTTTTCACTTTTTATGTTGAATATGATTGTGTGAGCATTATAAATACATACATTTTTTAAACTCAGAGTTTGGTAGTTGATTAGATTGTCACATATATTAAATTTCACTGAATTGTATTAATTAGAAATGCTGGAACATATTTGCTATTCAGGTTTATTTTTCATAAAGAATATTTATCTTTGTTATAAGCTAATAGAGTTTTCTGTCATTAATGTATATTAAGTAAGATCTTGCATAATGAGTAGTACAGTTTGATATAACTTTGCACATGAAGTGATTGGTAACCATATTTGTGGGTTATTAATTTTACACTGGAGAAGTATATAGATGATATATTGGTGATAAATTGTGAAATTCTTTTCTTTGGGGTTGATATCTTTTCCTAATAAGTTTTGACTTTGGAATATACATATATATATATATATATATATATATATATATATATGGTACTATTTGTATATGTAATATATAACTAATATAATGTATAATATATAACTATTTGTTACATATTTCTCTGGGATGTATATAAAACTTAGATGGCATCTATGTATGTTTGTAATGTTATTACTAAAAGCTAAAGTACAACTTAAAGGAAAAAAATTTCAAGCAACATCTAAGCTATTGAAATGTTACATCAATATCAAGAATTTCTGGTTATTTTAATTTTATATTGATTGATATGTATGGAACATGTATTTACAGATTTGAATGATTAGGCTTTAGTCACTAGTCAGTTCTGAGAACACTTTTAAGTGATAGTAGGAATTAGAAACCAGGATTTGAAAGCTCTTTTGATCAAAGTAAGTTAGGATATGGTCATCAGTTGTGTCCAGTAGTGATAAGCTACCAAGTGTGTCACCATGTGTGATGTGAGGTGTGTTGGTCCCAAACACCTATCACTCATAGCATTAAAGGATTCTCAGATTAACTCAGGGGTCTGCAACTATAAGGGCTGGGATTTCAAGTTGTCAGTCTCTGGGCTTGTTTTGTTACTTTGGAGGAGATGACAATATGTGTAGTGGAGGGAAAGATCTTAACTATCTAAGTGAAACAATTAAGATTCGGATCAAATTGATCTGACTGTCCAGAAAGAGTTCGTAGCAAAACACAGAATCCCAACAGAATAGGGGCACAGCATAGTATCATTTTCAGAGCGGAGAGGGAGTCGGCTCTGGAAGGGTAATGGGCATATGATGCCATGCCAGTGTGAGGTGTGCTTCACAATAATCCAGAGGTAGTGCCAAACCGAGGGTGTGGACATTTAACAAGGACCTTCAGCACACTGATAATCAACCTTGCCCTAACGTTTGTCCTTATCAATAGAACTGTTTGACTGTCTAGCCATTTAAACTCTTAATTCTTTAAGTTTTATTTAGATTAGAATCCTCCATCTAGTTTCCATAACCGGAACTGTAGCTGATTCCCCAATCTCTCTGTTATACACCAGCCAGCAGAAAGCCTTGATGTAGAGAGAGCATTGCAATCCACCTGGAAGGGAGAGCCTAGAGGCAGTGCTCCACACAGGTGAAAAAAATTAAGGGAGTAAAATGAGCAAAGAACGGTTCCTGTAATTATCTTCTCTTTCCGTCTGAGAAACCTGTAATAGCCCCATTCCACCCTCGGAGCCAGCTTTTCCTTCCACACACACGCACACAAAAATGTTGTAATTAATCTTACTGGCACCACTACCAATGAAGAGTCTTCTTGAGTTAGACTTTGAGGTCAAAGAGAAAGGGAATTGACAAAGAAATATGTGTGTGTGTGTGTGTGTGTGTGTGTGTGTGTGTGTGTATTTCATCTACAAATACAGATCACCATTCAGTTTTGCCACTTCCTCAGATCTCAGAAATTTTCTGTCCTCAATGAAATTCTTCCCTGATTCTCTGTGGATTATAACACTCCAGCTTTAGAAGATGCTTCACACCCAAATCCTAGACATCAAAGCAAAACAAAAACACAACACTTTTTTCTATCAGATTTCACACATCCATAATGGCAAGATTAGATGTGTCCAGAAGATTTAGCTAGTCTAGTCTAATGAAAGGAATTGTGGCTCACAGATCTATCCTAACAAATAGTACCAAATCCAGCTGTCACCTTTGATCCTTCATAGTTCCATAGGTATAATCTATATATTCCCCTCCCTCCCCCATCCTTGTTCCCTCTTACAATGTCTCTCTCTCTTACATACACATACAGGCAGGCATACAATGTCCCATGCAGAAAAATCCATATATGTACTGTTCATGTTTACATGCCTAACCTCCCATTTGAATAAGAAAATCAACCATCCAGATGTTTTCAAATATAATTGTAGACCATTTTGCAGGTGTTGTGATGACTGATCAAAGGTTCCACTTTCATCTATGGCTTATCAACAAAAACTCCTGATTATTTGTCCTTGTACCTCATATGCCATCTGTCTTCACTGTTATAGATCATCAGAAAATAATCCCGTTCTCTTTTCCTAGCAACTCTTAGGAGCAGGAATAAATGAGAATGAAATTCAGGTATTGTTTGCCAGCTATTCGCTTTCTCCCATATGCCAAGTCAGAGAATACAGAATTTACCGTTTGCAGGGTGGGGGGTGGGGGCAGGACACCTGGGTGTCTCAGTCGGTTGAGCATCCAACTCATGATTTCAGCTCAGTTCGTGTATGATCTCATGGTTTCTGAATTTGAGCCCTGCATTGGACTCTGTGCTGACAGCACAGAGCCTGCTTAGGGTTCTCTCTCTCTCTTTCTCTCTGCCTCTCTCTCTCTCAAAATAAATAAATAAATATTAAAAAAAGAATTTACCATTTGGGACAGTTATTTAACTGGGAGTATTCAATGGGACAGACACTCTTTGCAGAGCATTTGGGAAGGAGCTGTCTTACTGGGGATTGAGTACGCAGGGTCTAGCCTGTTAGTGTGCCCAAATGCATGTGTTAGTGGCATTAGCATTTGGAAACTTACAAGAATGAAATCCTATTGTTTATAATGTCTGATAATGCATAATAATATATGTGGATTCCTATTTGAAGGGTAATAAAGTTTACATATTGCTAAGCTTTCATCCTGAATCAACAAAATGTAATAGATCTGAATTTATGTTTTATTTAAGACCTAGGTTTAAAAGAAAATGATGAGGAGAAATCAGAGAATTTTTGGAAGTTATCCCTGAAATGTATCAACTCTAGATGCACTCATTGTAGCATAAGTCAAAAAGAATATAAGAAAGAGTTTCAGGGGTTTTTGATTGACAAAAAGTGTAAAACATGCAAAGAGGAAGTATATCGATACCTTGGCCTGTCCTGCTGCTAATTTTTGAACCAATCTGTTTGGCCATTTAAGTCATTCATGTTCTATTTCAAAAAGAGATTGAAACTATTAAAGACTTAAGATCTGTCTTCCGTAATAATCATGAAAGGTTTAGACCAGATGAGAAGAAAGAAAACACCACTGCTTCTTATTAAGAATATAGATCTTCTCTGAGTGGGTCACTTCACAAAAAAGATTAGACACCAGCAGTAGAAAGCCTAAAGAATTTAGGGAAACAAAGATTATGGGCAATTTTAAGACTCCATTTGATAGAGATCATGAATTTATGGTCATTAAAATTATGGTGAAGGGTTATATATGCATTGATCTGAAAGGCTGTTCATATATTGATAAGTGAAAAAGCCAGTTTAAAAACTGTTATGTCTAGTGTTTATGTTTAAATCTGGAATCATTTCTCCTGTTTCTTCCTCGAGTGCTTTGGTATAGTTATGTATATGCAGGAAAGACTCAATAAATGTTTGTTAAATTAACTAGCGGCTAATAAAAGCTTTGGGACAGCAAGGATTGGGATGACAATGCTTAGTTAAAATAGGTATGCTTTTCCTCCTCTCACTATTTTTGACTACCTTTCTTTTACTTAATAAAAAAACACAGTTTGGGTACATACCCATCTATCTTTGTCATTTTTCGTGTCAATATAGTATGAATAAAAGATTTTACATTGTCTTCTAGAGTTATAATATGCTTTTAGAACATATCTAAGACAAATGCTTAGCTTGAAAGCATTTTTACATTCTAAAATGGTATTTATGATTATGGCTGAACGAGAGCATTTCAGCATGGGAGAGAGCATTAAAATAACACATTGAGAAATCAATTTTAAAACTTTAGACTTAATCTTTTCTTCCTTCTTTACAGGGCTTATTCCACTAGAAGCAAGATGGCTGAACTCAATACTCATGTGAATGTCAAGGAAAAGGTACGATATATTTCTGTATTGGCTTATAGAAACTTCACAAACTGGATAATGTAGTCTCCAGCTAGTAAAAATTCAATTGCAGTGGAAGAAGAGAAAAGTGGTTTTGGGGGATACATAGTAAGTTTGACATGCTAGCAAACCATTCAGCAGGGGCACCTGGATGGCTCAGTCGGTTGAGCATCTGACTTCGGCTCAGGTCATGATCTCACAGTTCATGAGTTCGAGGCCCACATTGGGCTACGTGCTGACAGCTCAGAGCCTGGAACCTGCTTCAGATTCTGTGTCTCCATCTCCCTGCCCCTGCCCCATCCGCTCTCTGTCTCTCAAAAATAAATTTAAAAAATATTTTTAAAAAAACATTCAACAGAAAGAATCATAAGGAACATTTACTAAATGTGTGTTAATGCATATTACATTCATTTTCTCATTTAATTTTGACCATAACCCCGTGAAGTTAATACTGTTGTTATTAACAGAGGGGAGAACTGAGACACAGAAAAGTTAAGCAATTAGCCTCAATTTACATAGCTAGTAAGCTACAAAGCTGGGATTTGAACCCGGGTAGTGCCATTCTACAGCTCATACTCTCAGCCACATTCTGGGTTACATCTGAGGGCTGGGGTATTATGTTACATCTCCAGAAATGGCCTCATACAGAGATGTCCATAGCATTACCTAGTGGTCCTGCTGGATAACCTATAAAGTTTCTTTCAGCTGGAAGTTCATGACTCTGAAAATCCCCCTTCTCGTTATTTGTTGGAGGCTGATGACACTTCAAAGCCCTTCCAAGTCTTGTCCACCTCTGTGAAGTTTCCTCCCCTTAGGGTCAAAACCCCTCACTTCCTATATATGCTACCTTGCACTGTTAGCTCCTCATGATCATGAACCATATGAGACCATGGTATGAGACCACAGAGATAAATTTGTCCAAGCCATTTATCTGGCACTGTAGAGACTGAGGCCCTAGAAGAGATATGTCCATGGTTGTACAGCAGAGTGAGAAGTCCTCTCCACCTTCCACAGGGCTACCTCCCACCTCCACTAGACCATAAACTACTTGAAGGCCAGAGTTTGTCTTTTATCTCCTTGTATCCTCACAGTACCTAAAACATAGTGTGAAGGATGAGAGAAGTAGCACTAATGGAGTCTCCACGTTTTTTCTTTCATTTGGCAAAGACGTGTTGGACTGTAACTTTGTGCCACTGTTCTGGATGCTGGGATGATGGCCCTGAGCATGTAGAGGAGGTTCCTGCTCCCATGGAGCTTGCTCTTTAGGACAGAGAAACAGAGAGTCAATAGAGAACATATAATTTCAGATAGTGTAACGATGAGGGTGGCTGGGGGAGGGGGTACTTTAGATGGGGTTGGTCAGGGCAGCCCTCTCAGAGGAGGTGATTCTTGAGCTGAGATGAAGACAACAAGAAAGAAGCACCATGCAGAGACCTGAGGGCAGATTCCAGAGAGAAAGGCAAAAGCCCTGAGGTGGGCTCAATGGAATGTGTTTGAAGATCAAGTGCTCCCTGTTGCCAGAAAGTAATGGGCAAAGGGATGGGAAGGGGAGATGAGATAAGTGAGCACAGCAGGAACCAGTGTTGGTGGGATATTGGCGCTTCATCTGTGTTCCTGGACCTCCGTAAGATCCACGGGTGGACTCCAGGGCTCCACAAACTTGCATGAGAAAAAACACATTTTCATCTTCACTCACATCTAAATGAAATTTAGCATCTCCTTTGATTATGAATGCAGGGAAAGGAGAAAACCCACAGTTGCAGCAGGAGTATCTGTGACTTTCACAACTAGAAACCACAGATCTCTTCATATCAAATTACATTTGCTGCAGACAACCCTGAGATGTTTGTTCCTCACTACTTCAAAATTACGATAGCTATTGAAACGGCTGCCACATTGTGCGATTTGTTGTTAATAGAGTAGCACATATATTACTGTAGCATACGTTTTTTAAAGTTTAACTTTATTTCAATATGAATGGTGGTTGCCTTTATACTTATATGTATTTTATTTAAAACATTCTAAGACCCCATAGGTTTCACCAGACCGCCAAAGGGAATTTGTGCCCCAAAAGGTTTAGAACCTGAGAGAGAGCCATGTAGGGCTTTATTCAAGGACAAAAGTAACTGCTGAAAGCTTTTAAGCAGGAGCGTGACTTATGTGGTATTTTTTAGAGCTCACCCTAGCTCTGTCCACTACTGTGCTACCTATTTTACAGATCTTCATATTAAATAACATTCTGAGGACAAGGGGGCTTAAGGTGACGTGACTTGGTCGAAGTCAGACTCTCAGGAAATGTGGAGGAACAGGGGTTCAGACTGTGCTGTGTCTGGTTCTAAAGCCTGTCCTCTTTCCACTACATTACTGCTTCCCACAGTTTTCCACCAAAATACCCTCAGGGCAGGAGAACAAACTTGTGACCCCAGGTCTCCGAGGACATGGTCAAAACCATTTTCCACAATACATAATTTGTTTGGAGTCTCATGGGTTACCTTAGATATCAATGCAAATTTTTAGCCATTGTATTCTGTAATATATTGCATATATTATTTTAATACGAAATTGTTTTTACTTATTGAGTATTGAACAAACAATAGCAGAACGACATGCCCCTTTTATATCATGGCTTCACATTCTTACTGACTCATAGTCTTAATCTTGGGTGAGACTATGTGTTTCCCTGTTTGAGAAGTTGGGTCTGGCACCAGAGTACCGACCAAAGGTTAGCCCTCTTCTGAATGCCTGTTGATGTATGGATTGAACAGCTTCTAAAGTTGGGTTATGGGAAGGAAAAGCACTTTAAAGAATCAGAGTCATGGTAATTGATTCTTTGCAAAACATGGCTAGTTGGATAGAGCGATACTGTAGGCTCAGCCGGAAAAAGTGTCTTATTCAAAACAGAGGTGACATCCAGCCAGTAAGGGAAGGAGGCCGATCTGTCAGCGCCCCAACCACAGAGGTTCTGTGTGAATGCTCCCTGCATTGGCTTAGACGCCACACCAATCCACTTGTCATGATCAATGTCACATATGCACATGAAGATTAAAAGTAGATGGTGTTTTTGCTATTGCAGTTCAGTAACTTATCAAAACGTTGGCATTGTTTTGAAAGAGGGTGATGTTTAAGTTGTAAATGTTATTAATCTGCATGACAATGAGAGTAGGGCCCCTCCAACTCAATTAGTACCTTTCGTCTTCCTATAGCAAAAGGTTAATAGATCTCTCAACTCAATAAAATAAATCATAATAAACAACTGAAAATTCTGTGATCATTTATAATTTTACGTTGATTTATTTTAGTGCATTTATGGCCTTCTTATGATTAGTTTGTTTCTCAATCTGTCACACAGGGCAATGACATTTTAGTTCTGAAAATTAAGAATAATAACAACTGTTTTGTCTTAAATTATAAGCTTTTAGAGACCTGAGAACAGGTGTTTGCAGTATTTTTATACAATACCTAGTGGAGCACTGTGGGAAATTAATACTTAATAAAATCCTTGTGATGAAATGAGTTCATCAGTTACCTCTAGTGGATCCACTGTTGGATGAATTGAAAAGGAGAAGGTACTTTTGAGGCAATCATTTCTGTCCTCAGGCAGCTTTTAGTCCAAAGGAGAAAATAACAGCTTAAGGTGTAATATCCAAGACAACTGAAATTTATAGTTGACACTCTCTGTGGCTGTTTTATTTTAAAATATCTTTCTATTATTGGATTATAACTGTAACGATTTAAGTTGGAAATGCCATTGGACTTAAAGTTCAGTCTCCTTTTTTTTTTTTTAATTTAATTTAATTTTTTAATTTACATCCAAGTTAGCATAAAGTGCAACAATGATTTCAGGAGTAGATTTCCTTAATGCCCCTTACCCATTAGCCCATCCCCCCTCCCACAACCCCTCCAGCAAGCCTCAGTTTGTTCTCCATATTTATGAGTCTCTTCTGTTTTGTCCCTCTCCTTGTTTTTATATTATCTTTGTTTCCCTTCCCTTATGTTCATGTGTTTTGTCTCTTAAAGTCCTCATATGAGTGAAGTCATATGATTTTTGTCCTTCTCTGGCTAATTTCACTTAGCATAATACCTTCTAGTTCCATCCACGTAGTTGCAAATGGCAAGATTTCATTCTTTTTGATTGCCGAGTCATACTCCATTGTATATATATATATACCACATCTTCTTTATCCATTCATCCATTGATGGACATTTGGGCTCTTTCCATACTTTGGCTATTGTTGATAGTGCTGCTATAAACGTTGGGGTACACATGTCCCTTCACGACAGCACACCTGTATCCCTTGGATAAATACCTAGTAGTGCAATTGTTGGGTCATAGGGTAGTTCTCTTTTTAGTTTTTTGAGGAACCTCCATACTGTTTTCCAGAGTGGCTGCACCAGCTTGCGTTCCCATCAAAGTTTAGTCTCCTTAGTGTGACGTACATCCTCTGAGATCTGACCCTGTCTTCTTTTGCACCTTACTTATTGGCACTTCCCCACAGACCCCCTTCACTGCCACCATCCTGACCTCCAATGTTCCTTGCCTGTAGGCCTTAGCAAAAGTCATTTCCATCTCCTCCTCAGACACCTGGCCCTCATTCACTTCCATTTCAGGAGCCCTTTCAGAAGAATATCTCCTCTCTCTTTCTTCCTGCCCTACCTGAATTCTTTGCCCTTCTCCTTTTAGCTTCAGCAGGGCTCTCTGCATTCTGCTCCAAAACCACTATGCAGATTGCAATGGTTAGCTCTGTCTTCTCCCCATGAGACTATGTGCTCCTTGGGGGCAGGGATTGGGCCCCTCTTATCTTCATATTCTTGGATTTGACACAGAGTTGACCCCCAAATACAGTTAGACAAATGAATGACTAATGAATGAATGAACATGCCTACTTGAATAGTTAAGTTCTTTAGAGACTACATTTCCCATTCATGATATTTTGCAAAACCTCAGGCCTTCTTGAAAACTGAAATATAGGCTAATGGAATTGTCATCTTAT